TGTTGCGTCGCCATAGCGAATACACACTTGGCCTTGCTGAAATCCTTCTCGGCCAGCTTCGACAGCGAGATGAAGCTTCGCTCAACATCAGGAATGTACAGGACATCCGCCAATGTGACAGACGTTCAGTCCATCAACTTCAACCCGACGGTGCCCGTTGCAACTGCGTCGATCTTCGTGCTATCCGCAATCGTGATGCGGATTAGCGTCTTCAGGTCCTTTATGGACACGAACTTGTCCCGGACGCTGGTCATGTGCGAACTTACACCAGAGTCGACGAGCCATTCAGATTTGGGCATCGCACTCGCAGCCGTGAACGCGAAGTTTGACGCTTGAGCTTGCGTCACGTGGCCACGAACTCCTTGTGCCCTGGATTCTTGCAGTAGAAGCACTCCCCATTGAAGTGACGCGTCTTTCCGAAGCCCTTTCGCTTCGTAGCCAATGCCCTCTCTTGAGCCGATGACGATTTATGCAAGGCTTCAACACCAGAGAGTGATTGGGTCGCCTAAGCGAGCGTCACGTTGGGCGTGTTCTCCAACACTGTCGTCAATTTACTGTACTCGTCAGTTAGACTTCCGAGTAGTAGCACGAGCTGCCGAATCTCGTCCAGGGGCTCACCAATTGACTCCATTTGCAGGACCAGCTTCTTGAACTTGTCCACATGGACAGCGAACTTCGTACCGGGCTCCATCTTGAAGCTGTGCAGCTTCTTGATGACGAAGAACAGGTTCTTGAGCGTTCTTCTTGTTGAAGTGCTCTTCGAGCAACGTCCACGCTTCAGCGGCGGTCAGCGCTCCACGGATGTAGACTTGATACGTAAGACTCACGTCTCCAGCGATATCACCAAGGACTTTCAAATCGTTGGTCTTCCATTCGACCGTGGAGCGGTCGCTCACTTGGTCGAACTTGGGCTTGATGATCTGCGCAAGCAGACCCTTGCGAGCGAGCTTCATCCGCATGTTGAACTCCCAGTGGAAGTAGTTGTCTTCCACGAACTTGTCGATAGTGTTGGCGTAGCTTGGGCTCATAGCCAATTGAGAGTATAGGGCAATGCGAACGAGTCTTGATGTCGATGTGAGCAGATGAATGGAAAGTTGAAAGTGAGATCAACTGAGTTAGAAGTCCTAGTACATCCTACACATGCGGCTCTCCTAGTACCTCCTTGTAGGCATCCCCCT